ACCAAACTGCTTTCACAAATAGCTGTCCTTTTCCCCATTCCCACAAGCAATGTGTAAATGTTCCAGTCTCTTCATATTCTTGTGAACTTGTCAATTTGGATGCAGTAGAGCCATACCAGTAATATCTCCTTATAGTTGTAATGAGCATTTTCCTAGTAACTGCATCAGTGGTCTTGAACATGACTGAGATTATGAGGCTGGTGCAGGAGAGGGCAAGATTTTGATCTCTTGTTCATAGCCAACTTGACGGCACCTAACAACAGCACAACATGACAATGTTGTTGAGCACCTTTTCATGTCCTTATTATTCATATATTATTTTAATACAATGTTTATTCAAATATTTTGTCCATTTTCTAATTGGATTGTTTCCCTTACTGCTGAATTTTAAGAGTTCTTTTAATATATTCAATACTTTCTTAATTGAACATATGATTTGCAAGTATTTTCAAATGTGGTTTGTATTTTTATTTTCTTAGGGTGTTGGGTCAGGAGGGAAACCTCCTGCCCTCTCCCCATCCCTGGTTAGGTGTAGAAGTTTTTAATTTTAATGAAGTCCAAATTATCACTTTTTTTTCTTTTATGAATCATGCTTTTGGGGTTGCATCTAGGAACTCTTTGCCTGACCTGAGGTCTTGAAGATTTTGTACCCTACAGAAGGGATCGAACTTATAGCAAACTTTGTGGAGTGGTCTGTGCATATTCTTCCACCTTGGTGACCAGTCTGTTGCATATCTGTCAATTTCTACTGCCTGTAGAATGTTTGTGTAGACTTGTGTGTGAGGGTCTTGTTTGACAGGCTACTCTTGTGTCTGCAGGAATGTGTGGATGTGAGTGGCTTCTGCATGTGTGAGCAGGAGGACATCTATCAGTAGAGCAGCCTGAGCTTCAGGAGTCTCCATGATAGGGCCTACTTGTGGGGGCTTTGGGACACAAACACTAGTTTGCCATCTGTGCAAGCTTAATTCCTACCTATGAAACTATATTTTCTTTAGCCTGTGTGTTTCATCAATCTTTTTGAGAGAAGAGGTTCTAAGGCAAAGGAACAGGTAAGGTGAGCGAGCAGTGAGGTTGCAAATACATGTCCATATATCATGCACCTCCGTTTGCATATGGGGACAGTGGTGATCTAGTGGCCTGATTCTCTCTTTTGATGTAGGAGATTGGGGTTCAATTCCCACCTAATGCACTTCATGCCTGACAGAAAGTAGAGGTTCACATGTTGCTCTGATGCTGAAAACGTTTCAGCAGAACCTCCAGACTAAGATAAAGTAAGAAGACTTGATGATTTACTTCCAAAAAATCAGCCAGTAAAAACCCAGTGGATCACAATGGTCAGATCCATACTCGGATCTTTGTTCTACTGTTCATGGCATCACTAGGAGTCAGGGGCAGACTCAGTGACAGTTCATAATAACAACAACACATGCATAAATCCAGCAAACATGTGAAAACCAATTAAAAAAGAAAAGAAAAAATAAATCCAGCACATATTCTGTTACACCAGAGTGTCCATATGTATGCCTATATTCCTACAACCCTCTAAAGGCAAAACTCTGTCCGAGTGTGTAACTTGTGCTCGGTATGTGTTAAATGAGTAGGTGTTGCACAACATGTACAATCTCACCCTCTCTGCTGTAGCAGACAAGGGCATGCAGTTTTTGTGTAAACTCGATTTTGTGGCTCCTGTGTCCTCAGATATACCCCTGTTTGCACAAGCATGAGCAGCCTCACAGCTTTTACACACACTCCTCCACCCCCACCCACCTCTCACAGGGCCCTGTTTTAAATAGAGGTTGTAGAGGTTGGATGAAGGAGGCTGCTATTCCTCTGACTGTTCTCTCAAGCTGTGGATGATGGGAGGGTGAGTATTCATTTGCTCTTATTTTTAACTCATTACCTTGCAGTTTACACACACACACACCCCAAATTTATATATATCACAGATATTACAAACTGATATATATTATCAGGGTTTTGTATTTTGGGTTTTTTTTAAGAACTGTCAGCTGTTCAAACCCACTAGAAACTCTGTGGGAGAAATATACAGCATTCTATTGGCATAAAGATATGCAGTCTTGGAAACCTGTACATTAGTTCTACTCTGTTTTACAGAATCACTGTGAGTTAGAATTGACTTCATGGCAATAAGGTTTTTATGTATTTTTTTGTCTCAGTCAAGTTTACTTAGGTGTAATTTTGTTGTTGTTGTTGTTATGTGCCATCGAGTTGCCTGCGACTCACAGTAGTAATAGCTCTGAACCCTGCCCTATCCTGAGCCAGTCTCACTGATTCCGACACACTTACACCCATTACCACTTTGTCAATCTACGTCATCTTGGGTCTTCCTCTCTTCCACTGTCCCTCAAGCCTTCCAAGCATGATGTCCTTTTCCAAGGACCGGTCCCTCCTGGCCACGTGCCTAAAGTATGTGAGATGCTGCTTCAGAATCCTTACTTCCAAGGAGAACTTGATTTCACCCTCTCCAAGACAGACCTGTTTGTTCTCTTTGTGGTCCATGGTATATTCAATACTCTTACACATGATATAATCAACCTTTTATAGATGGACATGTCTATGAATTTTAATAAATGTATACAGAGATTTATATAACCACTCAAACAATCAAGATATAGAAGAGTTCTGTCACTGTCTTCAAGGCAGAGGGACACTTAGGTGGAGAGGGATCTTGGGATAAACACTCACTGAGACCTGGGAGATGCTGCTGGCAGGGATGGCTCCTCCTAGGTGTCCAGTGTTGGTTTGTCTGTTGCATTAGATATTCTTGTTCTTACCCTGGGTCTGTAAGGCAGAGTAAGACAAGTGCAGGTTTGGGTTCTGTCTTCATTAAAAATTTTGATATTTTACTCATTATTGAGTTTTAAAATTAATTTTATTTTTTAAAAGTATTACACTGAAAGATTAATCTTGATTGCTGAGTTTTATACCTCCTTAAATTTTATGCTCTAGTCGAGTGCTTCACTTGCCTCACCCTAGTGTTGACATTGCTTTGGGAGCGAGGAACTTGCCTGGGGTGGGGGTGAGACAGAGGGGATGAGGGGACAGGAGTGAGGATTGTGAGTGGGCCATTTCCACAACTCTCTACTTTCCTCTCCCGTGACCTTCTGGCTCCTCCCTGAAGTCGGAGTTAGGGGCTCAGGGAGGAAGGGCAGTTTTACTGTCAGCTGTTAACAAAGGACCAAGGCTCCTTTTTAACTCCTTGAGCCTGGGACATCTGGGTTCCTCATTATCACTTCAGGTATATGTGACCTTGCTTTACTCATTTTCCATATCCACTGATACCTGCTTGTGCAAGACCCTGTTCCTCAAGCACTCTAGTTGTGGAGAACATATGAGGAGATAATGGAGGTTCAGTGGGTAAGGTTCAGTGTGGTAAGAGCAGGGTTGGTGGGGACAGAGAGCTGGAGCAGAGTGTAGGGGGACTTTGCACATGGGTGGTGCCTGAACTGAGGTTGAGAAGTTGCTCAGTCAATGGAGAAGGCTCTTAACACAGTATAGTGAACAGTTCTGTGGGGCACAAAGGCTCATATGTGAGGACCTAGATGGAGCTGGTTTGTGCTGGGTTTAAACATTTTTTAAACAGTTGTAGTTGTTTTTTGCGCATTTATCATTGGTTTTCAGCTTATAGTAACATTATGTGACAAAGAAGTATGGCTCCATAGGGTTTTCTAGGCTGTAATATCTTTATTTAATTTATTTATTTTAGGCTGTAATCTTTACAGAAGAGTCTGGAAGCCGATAGCCCAGTCTTTCTCCCATGGAACCACAGGGTGTGTCCAAACCACTGACCTTTCATAAAGAGCCCGGTGCTTGACTATTTATTTGTACCACAGTGCTTTTATCCGTTTTTAAAAGTCCAGAGGCTACATATAAGAATCCTGCTTTCTCCAGCACCCCTTTCCTAATTCAAAAACCAAGAGAACTCTGACATTGGTGGGACTGTGTTTCTGCATGACTTTCTCCCGTCTGCAGTCTCCCTGGCTCCCATAGCTTTTGTGCTTATGATTCCTTTGTGGTGAAAGCTTTGCTGTCTACCACGACAATAGCCACTAGCTAGTCATGGGGGGCTATTGAAATGTGACTGGTTTGTATTGAGATGGAACATAAGTATAAAATTTACACTAAGTACCAAAGGGAAGGAAAAGAAAAAGATACATATTATCTTACCAGCAATCAAAAATATTGATAAAAGATTGAAATGACCTTATTTTGCATGCTGGAGTAAATAAAATGTATTATTAAAATGTTGTTATTATTATTGTTGTTGTTGTTGTTATGTGCCATCGAGCCAACTACTACTCATAGTGACCCTATGTGCAATAGCTCTGAACTATTCTAAGCCAATTTCATTATCTCTGACACACCTACCCCTATTTCCCTAGTCACTGTATCAATCTATTTCTTCTGGGGTCTTCCTCTCCTGTGCTGTCCCTCCAACCTTCCAAGTATAATGTCCTTCTCCAAGGACTGGTCCCTCCTGGCAACATGTCCAAAGTATGTGAGACAGAGCCTCAAAATCCTAGCTTCCCAAGAAGCTGCACTGCAATCTCAAGAGGTGCACACTTTGAATCCACCAGATAATCTGCTGGAGAAGGAGGAACAATCTCCTCCTGTACCAGTCAGATCTGACGGTACACAGAAAAATAATGAAATAAAATAAATTTTTTAAAAAAATGAATCCTAGGCTCCAAGGAGCAGCTTGCAGTGCAACTTCTTGCCACTAGGTCAATGTAAAAAATAGATGAGATTATCTAGCAGTCAGGATATCAAAAGACGAATTGCACTGGGAAAATCTGCTGCCAGGGACCTCTCCAGAGTGCTGAAGGAAGAGAAAAAGAACAAACTAAAGTCTGAGTGTACAGTTTGTAGCTTGGTGCCAGGCACACAGTTGACATTTCATTGACATGCCCATTTCCCAGTTGTGGTCCTTAGCTCAGTATCTTCTCTCTCCCTCTCTTGCTCTTGCTTCTGCTCCACAGTCCCCATCCCCTCCAAAGGCAGCAGTCTCTCGGTCCTCTCACTGGCCAAAGACAGCCTGGTTGGTGGCATCACAAACCCTGGTGAGGTCTTCTGCTCTGTGCCTGGCCGGCTCTCGCTGCTCAGCTCAACGTCCAAGTACAAGGTGACGGTGGGGGAGGTGCAGCGGCGACTCTCGCCTCCTGAGTGCCTCAACGCCTCCCTCCTGGGCGGTGTCCTCCGCAGGTAGGAAGGCCAACCCAGGAATCTCTGCAAAGCACCCAACCCCAAATCTCTGATCTTCTTAAGCCTTTTCGGGAGGCCAGGGAGGGTCCCAGCCTCACCTCAAGCCACAGCATCATCTCTGCCTCTTGCAGGAGGTGGGGCAGATGTGGGGGATACAAGATTGTGTCTGCTCTGAGACAGGCCTAGGACTCTAGCAGTTCAAATAGATCTGTGGGTTTAAAGACAGTGGTGAGTGAGGCTGGAGAGAAGGCGCCTGAGCATAGAGAAGGGATGGAAGATTCATCCACATTGAGAAAGATGGACAAGGCTGGACTGGGGAAGAAAGTACCATTTCACTCTTTCTTGAAGGACCCCAAGTCCCAGGGTTCATTCCCCATGGCAGGATAGGCCTTTCCTGGGTATGTGTGTGGGATGGGGAGTTTGGGAGTCCATGGTTTGTCTTCATAGGTGTGTGTTTCCCAATCTACACAGGTCCTTGTGCCTGTGCATTGAATGTGTGCATTTTAGTTAAGAGATGACGAGGAGTATATATTTCCATCAGTGAATTTGATGTGTTACTATTTTTCCCTGGTTTATTTTTATTAGAGAGGTATTGGCTAAAATGTTTCCT